TTCTATCCTATCCTACCTTGTCTATCCTATCCTATCCTATCCTATCCTATCCTATCCTACCCTACTCTATCCTGTGCTATCCCATCCCATCCCACCCCATCCCATTTCATCCTATCCTATCCTACCCTATCCTATCTTTCCCATCCCATCCCATCCCATCCCATCCCATCCTCTCCTCTCCTATCCCAACCCAACCCATCCCACCCCATGCTATCCTATTCTATCCTATCCTATCCTATCCCATGCTATCCTCTCCTATCCCATACTATACCATCCCACCCCATGCTATCCTATTTCTATCCTATCCTATCCTATCCTATCCTATCCTATCTTATCCTATCCTATCCCAACCCATCCCATCCCATCCTATCCTATCCTCTCCTATCCCAACCCACCCCATGCTATCCTCTCCTGTCCTATCCTATCTTATCCCATGCTATCCTCTCCTATCCCATAACATTCCATCCCACCCCATGCTATCCTATTTCTATCCTATCCTATCCTATCCTATCCTATCCTATCCTATCCTATCCTATCCTATCTCATCCCATCCCATCCCATCCTATTCTATCCTCTCCTATCCCAACCCAACCCATCCCACCCCATGCTATCCCACTCTATCCCATCCTATCCTATCGCATCCCATTGCATTCCACCCCATCCCATGCTTTCTTTTCCTTTCCTTTCCTATCCTATCTTATGCTAGCTTTCCCATTCTGTCCTATCCTATTCTTTCTTATCCCATCCCATCCCATCCCATCCCATCCCATCCCATCCCATCCCATCCCATCTTATCCTATCCTATCCTATCCTATCCTATCCTATCCTATCCTATCCTATCTTATCCTATCCCATCCCATTCCATCTCAACCCATACCATCTTATCCTATCCTATCCTATCCTATCCTATCCTATCCTATCCTATCCCCTCAGCTCTCTGTTCCCAGGATGAGCCCAAATTTTCTCCTATGCCATGTAGAGGGATAAGAAAGAGATAAAAAGAAACTAATGATACTAGGGACAGTAAAGTGAACGCATATTCTGTGAAGAAGTTAAATAACCAATTGAAGAAAAACAACTAAAATGTGTAAAAAAGAAGTTTCAGCAGTGATGTTGCCACAGCTTCCCCTCTCCAAAAAAGACACTTAGTTGTCTGGAAATAGCAACATGCCAGTCATAAAGCTCAGAGCCCAGTTTCTTATTCCCATCAGTGAGAAATCATCAGTTTTATGGCTTTGATATCTACCTTTGCATGTCAGTAAAGTAGTAGCCAAACTATGTGAACCATGATTCAGACACACATCTGCACTATTGATTTCTTCATCATCCTGTGTTTAATTACTTTATTTAATGAATTGAGTATCTATTAGATACATAATTGCTAATTAACCTTTTGCACTAGTGTGCAAATGTATCATGCATACATATATACACATATTCTATATGTATATATTTATTTTTCCATTGTATATGTACTTAACTCCTATTTTTCTATCACATTGACTAATCCAGTACTCAGCACCAAATGTGTACTTTAGGACATACATTTTAATATATAACAATATCTTACATTTGCAGAATATTTTTTAGAGAACTCCTGGCAGAATTGAATGAGATGATGAGCTATTTATAATTTCTCTCCCAAAGAGCAAACAAATCTCCTTCAAATCTTTCAAAACCTAAATTGCATTCTGGTTCCTCACAAACCTAACATAATAAACTCTCATTCCCTTCCCATCTCCTGGTGTCCCTTCTTCAGAGTTCTTTATTCCTCTGTTAGCAGGAGTATGTATTTCTGCTTTCAATAATGCTTTGCTACATTTTTCTGTTGATTGAAATACTCTTTGGAGACTTTCTTTGAACTCCCCCTTTTATTTTCCCTTTTGACTTCTTGATGCCATTTCCTCTGAGATCAGATTCTCTGCTATTTCCTCCTGGGCCTCCTTACTGCAGCTCTCCTGGGGAACCCTCTATTCTGGGGATGGGAGGTGGTAGCCCCTTTCTTTCTGATCCATCTTTCCTCGTGTTGCCTCTGTTTCCTCCCTTTCATCGCCTGTGGCTCTCACACAATTCATTTTTTAAATAAAATAGCCCTTATTTGTCTCTTTCCTCAACAGGAGCCAGCTTCCCACCTCCTCTGCCCCTAATTTGTCTTGCTCTATGTATTCTTCACCTCAGCTTCTTTATTTTGCCATTGCGGAATCCATTCCATCAACAACCTGAAATTCACCTTTCTAATTTTCCTTGCCATATCTTCTTGGCAATGACTTTCTAAAGCTTCACTCTTCCCCCACAGCTACATTAACTTGGGCAGGGGTGACTCTTTCATTCTTGGCCTGTGAAGCTGGCCCCATGGGGCTGTTTTCTTCTCCTACTGACACGCTTTCATGGTCTGCATAGCTACGACCTTTCTCATTACAAAAGTTACACACCATTCCAGTTCCGCAGAAGGCTCAGAAATGTCCTTGTTCTCCACACCTGGAGCACATTTTCTGACTGCCTGGTATATTCAGATGCTCTCTTGAGCCCACTTAGGATGGGCTTTTAGCTCTTTTCTGTGAAAGTTATATCATTAGTTACCCCAGAAAAAGTCACAAATGGCACATAGTTAATCCTGTCCTCCTTGATTTCAAACTTGTAGAGTCCATTGACCCAGCCATCCCACTACTTGGTATATACCCAAAGGATTATAAATCATGCTGCTATAAAGACACATGCACACGTATGTTTATTGTGGCACTATTCACAATAGCAAAGACTTGGAACCAACTCCAATGTCCATCGATGATAGACTGGATTAAGAAAATGTGGCACATATATGTATGGAATTCTATGCAGCCATGAAAAAGGATAAGTTCATGTCCTTTGTAGGGACATGGAAGAAGCTAGAAACCATCATTCTGAGCAAACTATTGCAAGGACAGAAAACCAAACACTGCTTGTTCTCAGTCATAGGTGGGAATTGAACAATGAGAACACTTGGACACAGGAAGGGGAACATCACACACTGGGGCCTGTCATGGGGTGGGAGGAGGGGGGGAGGGATAGCATTAGGAGATATACCTAATGTAACTGATGAGTTAACGGGTGCAGCACACCAACATGGCACATGTATACATATGTAACAAACCTGCACTTTGTGCACATGTACCCTAGAACTTGAAGTATAATTAAAAAAATGAATAAAATTTATTTATCAAACAAATAAACAAAAAAAGAAATCCTAAACCTCTAGGTTGTTTTCATAAGAATCCATAGGGAGGGGTTAGCTTGCCCCCTGTAAGAAACATGATTCCACAAATTCACAGTAATTTTTCTAAGTTAGATCGGGGGACAGCTTTTAGAAACCTTTACTTGAACTTCTAAAATAAATGAGACAGAATATCACCTGGAATTGGAAGTGTTTCTCAAATCCACCCTACCTACCCAGCTCTACCTCTGTGCAAACTTCCTGCCTGACTTTAGTCCTTTTTGTTAGGGGCTACACTCTCTTTTTCTCTACCAGAGATAAGAGTATAGTGCAGGAGTCAGCAAACTATCACCCACAGGCCAAATCAGACCCATCACTTGTTTTTGTAAAGAAAGATTTTCTGGAACAGTCATGCTCATTTGTTACGTATTGCCTATGGCTGCTTTTGCACTAAGAGGGCAAAGTAGAGTAGTTTCAACAGAGATCAAATGGCCTGCAAAGTTAAAACTATTTCCTCTCTGGTCTTTTATAGAAAAAAAAAATGGCCAACTCCTGATGTAGTGCCAAGACGGTATTCCTCTATTTCCTTGCCATTAATTTTCTTTTTAACCTCTCATTTCAACTTTACTTCTTCCTTTCTTCTGGTTAGTCTCAACAGTTTATACATTTCAATTCTTTTGACTCTGTACATTATTATGTATCTTTATCATGATGCATTCACTAGAATCATTTATAAGGTGCTCTATGTAGTCTTTGTACTTTTTCTCCTGATACGAAGTTTCCAAAATCAATCTAGTTTCTCTGTGAAGCTAAAGATCCACATCAAAATTCTTAATTCTTGGTACTGTAGTTAAAGAAGATAATATTCATTGAGTATTCATCATATTTGTTCAAGATTTATTCACTCCTATGCTGGCAGTGGTTTCCAATCCTTGTCAAGGTGATTCTCCTGCTGCACTAATTGAAATTCTATGTAATTTTTTTTGAGACACGGTCTCACTCTGTCACTCAGGCTGGAGTGCAGTGGCATGATCTAAGCTCACTGCAGCCTTGACCTCCTAGGCTCAAGACATGCCCCCACCTCAGCCTCCGGAGTAGTTGGGACTACAGGCACATACCACTATACCCGTCTAATTTTTTGTATTTTTGATGGAGTTGGGGTTTTGCCATGTTGCTTAGGCTGGTCTCAAACCCCTGAACTCAAGTGATCCAACTGCCTCGACCTCTCAAAGTGCTGGGATTACAGGCATAAGCCACTGTGCCCAGTCTGAAATTCCATAATTCTTAATATGTGTTTCTCGTGTATTTCTTTCATCTCTGTCAACTGCTGTGAAATCTATGGGAGATGCAAACCAAAATTATTTTTATTTCTTTTCCCTTTGCCTCTACCTTTCTATTTTTGCATTCCCTCATCTACCTTAATCTACTCTATCATACTTTTACCTTTTTTTTTGGTCATCCTTGCCACTGACCAATGTCTTGGTGTATTAGTTCGTTTTCACACTGTTATAAAAAATACACAAGACTGGGTAATTTATAAAAGAAAGAGGTTTAATTGACTCACAGTTTCACATGGTTGGGGAGGCCTCAGGAAACGTACAATCATGGCTCAAGGCTAAAAGGAAGCAAGCTTGGACCTTCTTGCATGGTAGCAGAAAGGGACAAATGGGAAAGAGCCCCTTGTAAAACTATCAGATCGTGTGAGAACACACTCACTATTACAAGAACAGTATGGGGGAAACCGCTCCCATGATCCAGTCACCTCCCACCAGGTCTCTCCCTAGACACTTGGAGATTATGAGGATTACAATTCAAGATGAGATTTGGGTTGGTATACAAAGCCTAACCATATTGCTTGGCTAATGCTGGGAACAGAAAAGTATCTGCCAAATGAGTTTTTTTTCCCCCATTGCTCCTGTTATTTCTTTTTACCTCTGTTGTCTATGGGACTTGTGCGTCCTCTTCACCGTTCTCCTCTCACCCATCTTCTGCCCCATGTGCTGCCACTTCCTGTTTTTCTTATCCTTGGTGTCCATACTGGCTTCTTTTCAGCATGTGCCACTCATTGCTAAGTGAACCACAGCTGCTATCTACAACAATGACAAGAAGTATTGTGTCCCTACTTTTCTGATGCTGAAAAACTAGAGGATAATTGAATTACACAAGCTAAATACTGAGATTTGTTTTTGTGTAAATTCCACTAGGAAGTATCCTCTAGAAATACAAGAAGGGAGGAGGGAATAAGATATGCTGACTCTCTGATATTCCAAGCTATTCCAGTCAATTACATAAACATTATTGAATTTATTTCCCACTGCAATGCTATCAGACCAATATTATTATTTCTACTAAGGACTTACACAAGTAGATAACTTGTCTCAGTCCCCATAATAAGACCACATTAAAGAAATTTGACCATACAAAAGTTTAACTCTATACTCCATGATTTTAAAACAGCTTTATTAAGGGATGATTAATGTATAAACACTGTACATACTTAATGGATACAATTTTTGAGTTTTGGCATATGCATATACTTATGAAACTATCACCATAGTCAAGGAAAAAAACATATCCATTACTCCCAAAAGCTTCTAATGCCCCCTTTATTTATGTTTGTTTTTGTGGTGAGAACACTTAATATGAAATACACTCTCTTAAAATGTTTAAGGCACAATACAATATTGTTAACTATAGACACTGTTTGTAGAGAAGATCTCTAGAACTTATCTTGCATATTTGAAACTTTATGCTCACTGAATAACAACTCTGCATTTTCCCCTCTCTTTAGTTGGCATTTTATTCTGGCAACCAGCATTTTATTCTGTGCTTCTATGAGTTCATTTTTTTTTTCAATACCTCATATAAATGGGTCAATGCAGTATTTCTCCTTCTGTGATAGGCTTATTTTATTTATTATGATTTCCTTCAGGTCCATCCATGTTACAATTGGTGAGAAAGTAAAAATGGTGTAGCTGCTATGAAAAACAGAGTGGATCTTCTTCAAAAAAATTAAAATAGAGCTACCATATGACCCAGCATTCCCTCTTCTAGATATATATCCAAGAGACTTGAAATCAATATTGCAAGGGGATAGCTGCACTCTCATGTTCATTGCAGCATGATTCACAATAGCCAAGAATTGGAAACAACCTAAATGATCATCAACTGATGAATGGACAAAAAATGTGGAACACACATGCAAAAAACATTATTCACAATTTTTTAAATGAGGCATCCTGCCAATGCCCATGATCATTTGTACCGTAGCACCTATTTTTGTACTGCTACTTGCCTTTTTATTTAATCTGTGTGTCTTGTTTCCTGAAGAGGACAGACACAAGGTCCATTTTGTTAGTGACCACAGAATTAAGGGAATAGTCTTGTACGTGAATATTACACATAAAGCATTGGTTGATTGGTTGCCTTACTGCTGAAACAAGCTAGGTGCTTGCATTGCCACAATGCATCATTCCAAGTTAAAAACGAACACAACAATTAACATCAATATTTTTAATATGCTGAAAAGCAACAATACCATTTTAGTCTAGATACTAGCTAGGAAGCCATAGCATATTCAAACCGGGTATTTGGCAAGAGTTTAATGAAGAAACGTTTAATAGAATTTAGAAAAGCTGAGAGACACAAAGAAAAGATGGTGAAACTATACTTATATTAATCAGAAATCACATAAAGATGCAGGCACTGAGGAGGTATGGGAAAGCAAAGTGATCCTCGGTATCAACTCTGTTGTCTTAGATCCTTACCTGGTCCAGGTTGAAAGATGATGTTTTTAAGTAAAGTACCTCCTCAAACAGCATGGAACATCTAAACATCTTTACTTTCTGCACAGATAATTACATAATTTATATTATTTTTCAAGGGAACTATGTCCCTGGACAGCAAATCTGTAGATTATTGGTTTCTTCACCTAAAGTAATCCGAAATAATCATACTTAAAACACTCCACACCCTCAGTCTAGTTGCCAGAAGGTTGATTATCATGTTTACCTGCGGAATAGACCGGGTCTCCTGCCTTTATTATTTTTTCCAAGGAACACTTTATCATGAAAGGAAAGGAAGCGGGTTAGAAGCCAGCTGCCTAATTCCTTTCTTTCCCTAAATCAGCAGACTAATAGCACTGCGGGGCACTCACTCCCTAGGGCAACAGAGGATGGAGACAGACCTTGAAGGAGCTGTAGCCTTCAGGAAAGGGAAACAGCTCACCTTGCAGGAGGAAGCTGTGGGGAACAGCTGTGCATTATTTTCTCCTACCCTTAAACCTCCAGCAAGTGCCTCCCATTAGCTCACATCAGCCAAACATCAGAAGGCAAAGAGGCTCATTGTTACAGACCACAGACTTCAAGACATGAAACAGGGTGGAGATGACCAACTAAGAACTAGTAATCTCTTACTAAACTGTAGTCAACCAAAAAATTTAGCTGAGGACATTTTTTAGCTATTGTTCCCAAACAATTCAAAAAAGATATACTTCTCATCTTCATCTTCTTTTAGGGGAATTTTACTACTTTTCATTGTATTTCAACCCAGAGTTTGAGATTTCTTAGCTAGATCTTATTAATCCATCCTGTTGCCACTTGAGTACTTTAATTATTAAAGACGTAGAACAGGCCGGGCACGGTGACTCAGCCTGTAATCCCAGTACTTTGGGAGGCCGAGGCAGGCGGATTACAAGGTCAGGAGATCGAGACCATCCTGGCTAATATGGTGAAATCCCGTCTCTACTAAAAAATACAAAAAATTAGCCAGGCGTGGTGGCGGGTGCCTGTAGCCACAGCTACTTGGGAGGCTGAGGTAGGAGAACGGCATGAACCTGGGGGGCGTAGCTTGCAGTGAGCCGAAATCATGCCACTGCACTCAGGCCTGGGCGACAATGCTAGACTCTGTCTCAAAAAAAAAAAATGTAGAACAGGTAGTCTCCATTTTTTTATAATAGCAAAACACCTTTAATATGTAACACATTTCCTATTCACTTATCTACTGACACAATAAGCAGCATAGTTTCCTCACATATATCATTTAACCTACCACATTTACCATTGATCCTATATTTCAATGATTTACAATCAATTAGCAAGTATTTATTCAATAAATATTACATACCCAAGACTATCCTAGATAAAATGGGTTTACGGATGGGAGGGAAAACTTCCATTTTCAGAGTTTTCAAAAATCTCTGTATTAGTTCATTTTTGCACTGCTATAAAGAACTTCCCTGAGACTGGGCAATTTATAAAGGAAAGAGGTCTAATCGATTCACAGTTCTGCGAGGCTGGGGAAGCCTCAGGATACTTACAATTGTGGTGAAAGCGGAAGCAGGCATGTTCTTCACAAGGTGGCAATAGAGAAAGAGAGAGAGTGTGAAGGAGGAGCTGTCAAACACTTACAAAGCCGTCAGGTCTCATGAGAATTCACTCAGTATCACTAGAACAGCATGGGTGAAATCAACCCGTGATCCAATCATCTCCAGCCAGTTTCCTTCCTGGACCCATGGGGATTATGGGGATCACAATTCTAGATGAGATTTGGGTAGGAACACTGAGCCAAACCATATCAATCTCCAAATCTATTTATTAAAATAGTTCAAAGTAGTTCTATTCGATAAATTATTATAGGTTCAATGTTAAAAGACATTTAAACACTTTAAATAAATGTATGGCAAATAACTTGCCCTGTTCTTCAAATTGTGTTCATTGAGAGCTAGCAATGATGTTCACATTGTATACATTTTCATTAGAAATACAGGATAAATTTTTATCCTTCTTTTTCAAGCTTAGATGCTGTTTCTGGTACAGGTGTTTTTTCCTTACTGTTCATTTTCCTTTTGCAAAGTTAATGAGAAAATGACGAGTCATAGAAGAGATTGGAGAAGATTCATCAGACAATTCAAATTCGTTGAAAATCTATAAAACAAGGCGCTTTTCTAGGCACCATGTGACAAAGAAAATTGATTTCAAAGTCAGATAACATCAGTTCAAATCCTAGCTTTCCCCTTATTAATGCTGAGATTTTACTCTTGCTATTTAACTTTTAAGTCCTCATGACTTCATTGCTAAAAAGAAGTAATTTTCATTTCTACTCTATATGAATAGGAAAATGTGCCATGAATTAAGGTGTTGTACAAAGGTAGTTTTTGGCATTAAGAACATGGAAAAGTATGGTCTCTCCATCTCACGGAAATTCAAATGCTGCACAACCACTCCACTTGGAGCTGGCTTGCTTTTATTCTGACCTTGATGGTCCTGGCAGAGTGGATGGGAGAAGTCAGTGAGCCCCGGGTGAGGTCATCATACTTTTAAAACAGGCTTCTGTGAAACGTCCCTTGAATCAAGATGCACCACCTCCTACGCATCCCTGAAGACCTGCTGGCGTGATAATGAAGGAACCTGGCTGCTCTCAAGGTTCAATCAAAACCCTTTACACTTCCTCCATAAAAGATCGGGGTGTGAATGCCTGAACTAAACTTTTCCTTGGGGAGTGAGCTCTGCATAGATCAGAAAAAAAAAAAAAAAAACCTAGAAAAAACATAAAGTAAAAGTTAAAAAGCTATTTTACCGGAAATAAATCAGTTTTTGCACTTTCCTGGGTGACGGATCATCAGAAAGGATTGTTCATCTACAATTGTATCTCCCAGGTGTCCATCCCTTCATCCCCTCAAAGTCTGGATGCTTTTCTCATGTTCCTCTATCATTAACCCAACAAAGTCACAGCTGCCACCCCAAGACCTTTGCTTAATGAGAAAATAAACTGAAGGCATTTGGGGAAAGAATTTTAAATGGATTCTCATTAATTTGTTGTTTCAGAAAGCAGTCACCATTAGCAATCATTCCATTGCTTCAAACGGAGAAGATATTTTATGCAATGCAGTATATTATGTCCCCTCTCTGCGGGAAGGGGCCAGGGCTAATCTCAGAGCTTGCCTTGTCACTGTGACTGTGCTGCAGCATTTCCTGGAAAACTGGAGGCATTTATATTCTTTCATTTTCTAATCTACTTAGAGGTTACTTCATGTTTTATTTAAGCTGAAAAGTCATCTTTAATCTAACACAAGAGGAATAGCTGCCTCACTGGGATTCTTCCAGTGACTTGATCCTTCCTCACAGCATTCATGTCACTTAAGACCTGTAGATAAGTCCAATCATTAAGTGCTAATATTATATTCCTGGTTTTGACTCACTGCTCCCAGGACCACCTAACTTACAGATCCTGAAAGCGTATATTTTAATTTCATTCCCCTGAAGCAAGAATTTTCCTGTTGGTAGCTTATTTGGTGATTTTAGGATGCATACGTGAGGGATGGGAGAAAGTTAGAAAGAGAAAGGAGAAAGTCCAATAAATATCTCGTTATTTCGTTTTCTCTGTGGGCTACTGGAATTCAAGAGCAAAGGATACCCTGAGAAACTCACCACTGAAATAAGGAAGGCTGAGTTCATATTTGGTAGAGGGACATCCCTCATCATGCTGACTCCCCAACCCTCCTGGGCTGTGACAGAGCAGGAGCACTGTCATCTCGGACAAACACCACCACTTTAGGTTCCAGTTCCCTTTCCACCCTCATGCATTTCAAGGAGATCATTTCTATTCTAACTACAAGCAGACAGAAAGAGCAGACAGTAAAACAAAGATAAGACGGTTCAGGCACAGAGGGAAGCAGGGGGGAAGTCTCTTGGGTAACTGCCAAACTTCACCCTCATACAATGGGCCCCAGTAAAACAGTGGGCTTTAATAAGCACATTCCTTTCTTTTCAGGTGCACTAGGATACGGAAGCTAAAAGCAGACTTGGGCGATATGCCTGCAGCTGCAGAAAGATTTATGGGAACAGACACACAACTTTCCCTCCCAGATAAGCACAACAAAGAGACACAGAAGCAGTCCAAGCCTCTGATAAACTCTCCTACCCTAAATCCGTAAAAACTCTTAGTCTGTAAACGACTGTGGCTCTGACCCAACTTAGCCAGCAGCCCCTCTCAGGTTTATTTAAAATAAACCTGTCCCTGTTGACTGAAAAGCCACCCTTCATGTTTCTCTCCTCTTTCTTGAATTCTTACAGACTGTACTGCGTTCAGGCAGATGTGCCTCCCGTGGCTTCTGAGAAAGCAGAGAGAACATAGCAGTGCGAAGAGAATTGCCCATTCCAGCTATGTTGAAATCAGAGACAAGGGACCTCTGCTCCAGGGCAGAGCTTCAGTTCTAAGAGGTGTGGGTGGCTGCTTAGGCAGTGGAAAGCTGCATTTTATTTATCTTATGTTTCTTTTTGCCTCTTTTCAGCCAATGGAATTGCATGTTACAAGACTCAAAGCCATAGGCTTCACAACATTATGCTGTGCACTAGACAAAGCAACACTGTTTCCGTTCCAGTTGTAAGTCCACCTAGTAATGTAACATCATTCACGGGAAGGCCTCAGATTTTTTTCAAGAGTACTATAAAAATTATGACTTTACATGGACTAAATGTGAAGGGGAAAAATTCACCTTGATACCACTGGCGTCTCTCTCTTTAATGTTTTTCATTACTATTTCTTCCTCTCATTTTATTTTAGTTACGGGATTATTGTTTCAGAGACAGGATCTCACTCTGTTGCCCAGTCTGGAGTGCAGTGGCAACATCATAGCTCACTGTAACCTCCCTGGGCTCAAGAGATTCTCTCATCTCAGCCTCCTGAACAGCTGGGACTAAAGGTGCATGCCACCATGCCTGGCTAATTTTTTTAGAGACATAGTCTTGCTATGTTACCCAGGATTCTTGAACCCTGACCTCAAGTGATCCACCAACATTAGCCCCTGGAGTCACTGGGATTTCAGATGTGAGTCACCATGCCCAGCTGTTCCCTTTCATTTGAGAAGTCCCATTGTCTCAAGTTATTCTTTCTCTTTCTCCTTTCAACACCTTTCATTAGTAATAGATTTATTAGACTTATTTTACTAGGGTTTAGTAGTTGTTCAGGAAGTATTTGCATTTAGTTAGGAGGTAAGAAGCCTCAGTACAAATGGGTTGAATTCCATTTGCAAAATTTCAGCCTTTAGATGACTTGAGGGAGATATAAGAGGAGGATAATAGCAAAGGTAATTGCCTACTGATGGGGAACATAATGTCATCTTCTGGGGTGAGATTAGAACTCAAGGAATTGATATTCCCTCATGTTCTAAGTCACTTCATATAGTTCTAAGTCACTTCATTTTGTATAATAGTTCTAAGTTACTCCATTTTAAAAACATGTATAGATATAAAGTCTTGGGAAATGCATTTTTTCTCTGATGACTATTTGGATACTGTCTTTGCTTATTTGCATTGTATGTTTCTTTGAAGAAATACAAGGTTTTCATGCTCTTCCTCAGTTATAGCACTTGATTTTATTTTTGTCTTGATGGCTATAGTTTTATTTTTATACTTTATGAAAATAACTTTATTTTGAGATGCCCTTGTATTTTTCAAACTCTATTACTATTATTATTATTATTTTCCTAACGTAAATACAGTTTGCTCTTTCAATCTGTAAGTTCAGGCCTTCATTAACTTCTAGAAAGCACTTCTCATATATGTCTTTAAACATTTTCTCTATCTTGTTGTTGTGTTCTCTTTTTTAGGAGTACCAATTAGGCTCTCTCCTGGTCCCTCTACTCCTTCATTCTTTAATATCTATTTCATTTGTTTATTTGCTCAAGTCTGTCCTCCATTTCTCTGATCATGTCTACAGACATGTTTCTGAAATAATATTATATTTTATTTGCATTTTTTCCTAATCTCATCCAGTTTACTCTTCCTTTTCCACCAATATTGTAATTTCTCCTTTGAGACATTACACCTCTTCTTTGAATTCCTAAGTTAAAGTGATCAATTTTTCTCTATCTTTTCATTTTGTGAAAATCTCTCTTTTTTTTTTTTTAAGACGAAGTCTCACTCTGTCACCCAGGCTGGAGTGCAGTGACGCGATCTTGACTCACAGCAAATGATGCGATCTTGACTCACAGCAAGCTCTGCCTCCCAGGTTCACACCATTCTCCTGCCTCAGCCTCCCAAGTAACTGAGACTACAGGCGCCTGCCACCACGCCCAGCTAATTTTTTGTATTTTTAGTAGAGACTGGGTTTCACCGTGCTAGCCAGGATGGTCTCAATCTCCTGACCTCGTGTTCCGCTCTCTTGGGCCTCCCCAAGTGCTGGGATTACAGGAGTGAGCCACTGTGACAGGCCAAAAATCTTTATATAATTTAAATTGATCATTGGAAAAACAAAACCTTAATACAAACATTATAAAGCTTATTTACTTTTCTTCGTGTACCTCTTCTGATACATATTCTGTATCTGGCTCTGATATTTGAGGTAGCT